CAATCACTGATTTGATGCTGCTTATTCAACGGATGATATAACTTCCAGGGCGGTATTGTTATTATCAATCAGGTTGACAGTGTTTGCTTTTGTAACAATAGATCTCATTCCAGACCTATTGGCCGAAATCCCAGTCTGAACATAATATCTGAACAGGCTGGAAATAACATCCCTAAAGTACGATTACGCTAAATAATTCGCTAGATATTAGGAAAAATAGCTGGGCATACATTCCAAAAAATACAGAAGTTGGATGCCTTTCACATGCAAGGATAACAACGGATTTTAGTAGCACCATTCCGAAGCATCCATCTTGGACACCGTGTCAATGTTTTACTTTTTCGACTTCTTCTTTAAAACTATAAGCCTGAATGCTTTGATACTTGGTGTATATGTACCTTGGGTAGACCTCTCTTAGATTTGTTCATTTCATGATGATATCTTCAATTCTCTAATTTTGATGAATATTTTTGTCATTTTTGGTAAAAAGTGATATTTTCGACTTCTTGTTAAAAACCGCAAGTCCAATTGCTTTGATATTACATATATATGTACTACATGTGGACCTCTCTCAGATTTGTTCATTTTGTAATGATATCTTTAGTTCGCTAATTTTGGTGAATGTAGTTTTTGGTAAAAAGTGATATTTTCGAATTCTTGTTGAAAACCGCAAGTCCAATTGCTTTGATATTACATATATAGGTACTGTATTTAAGGTAAATTGTTGGGAGTTTTTGGATTTTGTAATAATCTGCCTAGGAGCCTATTATTAAATTTCCATATTCCTGGAGCCATTACAACAGTTTCAAAATTGAAATAACATTTGATTATAACATGGTCACTAAAGGATATCGAATAATTTCTGTAGATAGACAGTGATGTTGAAAAAGGATGTCATTTTGCTCATAAGCCACGCCTCTCCCCAGGGTTACTACAAATATTAATGAATACATTTAAAATCATTCTCGAACGTAGATGAGTATGAATTAATATTTTCCGAGGACCAAACTATTTCTCGATAACAGACAATGGCACTTCTTAAATAGATGTAAACTATTTTGAATTTTATCGGCATTGCACAAGACAGAGAAACGGCATTACATAACTATCCATTATGCATTGTCAACCTTACCGTCTTTGCATGCTGCACTGTTGCTGTGTGTGGTTTTCGGGGTGAATGCACTACGGGAGCTTTTGATATAAGGCTTCGCTTCTATCTTTTACGGCGATAGGGTGATTTCTGTGTTCTGTGACTCGCGTTGCCTTTTATTTAATCACAGTGTTTCACCATTCACACTTGATATGTTTATTTCCTTGTTATCGTCGAATATAGGACGTGATGAATCAGGTGAAGTGCGTTTAGGACAGTTTCTCACCCGATGACCAAGAGCGTTTGGGACAGTTTCTCGCCCGATAACTGACCAGTCCACATTCGTAGCATTTTCTATTAGCACATCTGTGCTTTCTGTGACCAACATGCATACATTTCTTGCACTGGTATTCTGAACATTGCTGGATAATATGGTTATCAGAGAGGCAGTTGTTGTACACATTTCTCTTGTAGTTACGTAGAGGTATAATAATGTATGGGCAGTCATCATAAAAATTGACAGCATATGGTAATGGCAGTTCCATGCGGACGAATCGTGTTCCAGTTTCTACAATGGGCGCTTCATTGTAATATTTTCTTATAGAACTTCGTAATTTACATCCACAACTTTCCATATTCAGCTTAATCGTGTTACAGTCAATCAATAAAGGCAGGCACATTAAAATATGACACAGTTAGAAAGTTTCTTAAAAATACCTCGAACTTCTCTTTCCGGCCCATACATGCTGACTCTTGCTCGGCATGACAGTTTTCAGTGAGCGAAATTTGCCATATATCATTAATGTTCATACACGCCAACACTACTTGCTGAAGGTGGCATTATGTATAGATTCAATGACATCGATAGCACGGAAGTGGTCATCAATTATAGTAACAAGATTTTCCTGAATGGCGCGAGGTCTCTGTGCCGGTGTGTCGGCCATATTGGCCAGCACACCAGCCTTGGCAAATTGTTTGAACAGACTGGAAAGCCCGAATCACATACAATATAATCCTAAATAAAGAAATAACAAAAAGTCGCAATGTTTTGCTTGTAAGAACAGCGAATAAATAGCACAGGATGGCTATCATAAACACTGATTACAGTGGATTTGAAGAGCACAGGTCCGAAGCGTTCATCTTGGACATGAACTGGTGTGCCAATACACCATGAAACCAATTTAAAGTGTAAAGTAGGGGTGATAGCCAGTTTTCGATGAACCAAACAGTGCAGACATGAATTCACAAAGTGGCATAAAATGATGAAAATTCACTGAAGATCGAACTCGGGTAAATAATATGCACGAGTATTAATGCAATACTTATGAGGTCTGTGCATTGTCCTATGATATCTATGTACCAAGTTTCATTGTAATGTGATGATCAGTACCTGAGATATCGGTCGAAAAGTCCAAAAATGACAAATCATTATGCAAATTAGGTAATTAATATGCATGGGATTTCTACTTAAAATTCACCAGGTCTGCGCATTATCCCAAGGCATTTATGCATAAAGTTTCATAAAAAACCAACATATGGTTCTTGAGATATAAGTGGAACAAATGGACTCACACATACATACATTTATGTTTTATATTCTCGGTTTAAATAAAAATTAACATTTACTTTTTAGTATTTACATATATACAATAAATGCGCGAATATTACAAAATTGTAAATGATTGTGTACATACAGAAAAGTGAATACAGTATGTTACACTCGCGAATCTCGTATATGATGAAAGTGATTACATAAATCTCTTTGAAATATTATTGCTTTTCGAGAAGATAATCTGGGAATTTCAGTTGTCCGTCTAAGCTAGCTATGGCGTTGTTATGACAATATCGTATAACGAAGATGTCCAGTGAGCGGTCCAAGAGATGGAAGTTGTACTCGTTCCTCTGTCGGGCTTTAAAACACTGGACAATATCGGTTTTGAGCAGGTCCTTGATTTTGTTGACTCTAGTGACATGAATCGCCGAATTCATTCTGCTGCTGATGAGGAGACGATGCTCAGCAGTGATCCTTTTCTTTCTCGGTGGTCCAAGTGTATACCAAGACAACTTTGCTAGAAAAAGAACAACCCTGACGTATACCTCGATTGAAATTTATCGGACTAGTGAGTACGTTATTGACCCGAACAAGACTTTGGGTAGCGCAACACACAAGTCTAATAAAGTTGACAAAATGCTCACAAAACCGAATGATTTGAGAGTTATTCCAAACAGGTAAGTGTGGTTAACTCTGCTGAAGTAAGTTCTTCATACGACAAAGGAACATCACACATTTCTCTAATATCATCTAGTTTGGGAAGATTTTGAAGTAATATTTTTTGGCAATCAGCAGACACCGGGTCTGGTGAAAATAGTATTACTTTCATTTAGTACCTTGTGTCGGGCTCTTATTGCTGTCCATTTTGATTCAGTTTTCTTTTCATTAAATTGTTGTGTGCGTTCAGCAGTGAGATTATTTTCTTTCTCGATTGCGTGTATAGTTTTTTTATTTTGCTTATGTGTTTCGCTAAGCTTTGCACTGTATTGTTTTGTCAGATCTTTTATTTTGAATTTTCCAATATCCCACCATAGTTGAATACAAAAACAGTTTTATTTCCTTTTGTCGGTCGTGTAGTTTCACTGGATGGGATTTCTCCTCTTTGGGATTATCGCATTTATTTTTACTCTCAAGAACAGATTTTGCTTTCTTGATATAGTGTTTTTCCAACCGGGCAGTCATTCGCTTTAAGCGCACTTTTTCCCTACGAAGAAGATCGACGATTTAACGGAGATAGTTAAGCGAACGTATCAGTAATCTAAGATCTGAGCAAAACTCAGTAGCTTGTTCTATCAAGCGTTTTAAGTTAAAAGATTCCTTGAGAAAGACAGTCAGTGACTCACGCGTTAAAATTGATCAGTTTCTTTGTCACGAGCAATGTCAGACGCGAAAGTATCAACATCATCCCTGTCATCAGGGTCTACACATTTAGAGGTTAAAACCCTCTCCTCATCAATTCCATTTACATTATCAAGTGTTAACGAACTTTCGTCGGTGGAATTAAGTGTTGTAATTGCGTCATTTATATTTACAGTGTTGTCATCTGTCGTAGGTCTATTGTCTTCAGAGGTCCAGTTATTTTGATTAGATTCATTAGTATTCATTGATTCAGTAGACATGACATCTTGAATATTTATTAGGTCGGTAGTTTGAATAGTTGTAGCAAAACCGGGATCAATATTTTCGTTTTTATTTTTTTTCCGGGTATATTACTAGTTTGAGACAACACTAGCGTGTCATGTATATCGATGAGCATTTCTGTTTGTGTATCAGTATGTGAGTATTTATTTTGATCATTTTGATCGGTTGTACCGTGAACAGTGTTGTTTTTAACTGGTCTGGAGGCGTGGTTAGTGCCAGCGCCGATTGCATTTTCACGACAGTTTCTCTGTATGTGTCCTTTGTTGTTACATTTGTGTCATCGGTTGATAAATAAATACGATAGGCTTTTTCCTCAAAAAACAACATTAATAAAACCTTCAATTTGATCGTTTTTACACAACATATAAATCTGCCCACGGAAGGATTTTACATGTTTTAATGTTGGGTTTTTACACCCCTACGGCATTAACCTCATTTTACTTACAATGCGACCGTATTTTGACAACTCGTTCTCAATAACATTATTTGGAATGAACGGCGGAACCCCCGATATAACAACCTTTGTGGCTGGTTTTACCAGCGGTTCGACATAAATAAAACAATCCCCAATACAACTGAGACCAGAGGTACAAACCGTTTCGACTGCTTGAATGGAATCTAGGAAAAACAATAACACTTCCATTCGCCTTGGAAGTAGTCACGATATTTTCTGGATTAATCATTTCAGCAACATCATTTATAAGCTTCAATGCATACCCCATCAATAAATTCACATTTTATAGCATGTTTACGTGTCAATCCTGCAAACGGATTGCCACGAGGAGGACTCGCCCTGATGGCAGCCATCTTGGCTGGCAGCACTGGCGAGTCTGACACAACCCAAAAAATCAAAGAAAATACGGCAGATTTTTGCCAGACCAAACAAATAATCGAATACACACCACCACAACGTATTCACCGAAGACCCGCTACACAAAAATAAACTCACTTGACTCTCAGGTAGGTGAAAAGCCGTAATTCTCTGGAGCTCGGCTCAAGCACGCTCGTATACAAATACATACATACATACATTTGAATCTTTTATTCTCGAGTGATAAAAAAATCAGTTAACAATCACTGTTTAAATACAAGAATTGGACATGTATAGGTAAGTATAAATCATAGGCGAATACAAGTGATACAAAATAACGATAAAATAAACGAATTATAAAGTAACAGTAGAGGAAAGTATACAATATAATATGTTCGAATATAAACGATGGAAATTAATTACAACGAACTATAAAGTACAAAGTACATGGTACATCGGGACGCTGTAAGTGTGACATTACTTTACGCGACCCCCTTTGCTTCTCACAGTCAAAGAAAAAGGGTGCAGGGGCATAGTTTTCATTTAAAACTTTATGCCGAGATCTGATTGCGGCTCCCTTGCACTCCGTTGTTGTTAGCTTTTCCAATAAAGTGTTTTTTCTCTTTGAGAACCCCTATTAATGAAGTATCATCTTTTAAACGGTTTCAACATTTGTAATGTCATTACGTAACTTAGCTTGATTATTTCTATATGTACAGGACAATTTGGCACTGTACTGCTTTGTGAGTACTTTAATATTCAGCTTGCCAATATCCAAAACCGCCTTTGAATTTTACTGAAGCATGACTTCTCACGGCGCCATTAACCAATAATCTATGAATATTTCACAAAAATCTGCATCCAGCAGAAGGCTTAAATTATAGCACCAAACAGGATTACGTGCATTAATGGAATTAAAAGACAGACGGATATCGACAGAAAAACAATCAGAAAAATCAGAACGAGGCAGTATAGACGATAATTTAATTCTGGATAAGATATATTTAGATATATAAAACGTATCAATGCGTGATTTGCTCCCGTTTCTACTCCAGGTATACTGCCTGGCAGTAGGATTGTGATGGCGCCACGCATTAACAAGTTTGAAGTGCTATGGTCGTCCAAGTGTTTCAAAAATGGCTAGATTAAATCGAGGACGCTATTTTTATTTCGTGCACGATAAAACTCATTTGGGTATGCTGAATTTGTATTCGACAACGCTAAATTTTCATTGGTGCACGCTAAATTTTCATTGGTATGAGTTAAAATTATCGAACATGCTAAGTTCCATTGGTAACGTTAATAATATGACTCCAGCTAAACTTGGATTCGATAGTGCTGAAAAAAATCGAGAGCGCTAACAAAAATCGATAGCGCTAACAAAAAATCGATAGCGATAGAAATTTTCTAGGGAGCTAAATATTGCACACAAAGTTAAGGTGTCTCAATCTTTAACCCGGA